GTCAGAGAGCATCCTGTCAGCTCTGTAGTCCCCAAGCCGGCACCTGTATCTGCAATAGGTGGGGTCAGGGAGCTTTTAGGAGCTTTTACAGTAAAGGTCAGAGGCCAGAGAGTCCTGGCTACAGTCTAGGGCCCCTGCAGTTCTGGACACAGTCCCAGCTACAACCTCTTTGAGCAGCTGTCTTTCCTTGCACGGCTGGGTTAGGCCTCCGAATCAGCATCCCATGAAACCTGGTTGAGCAGTTTGTGCCCTGGAAATAGCATTCAGCTGGGGCTCAGACTACATGGGCTATAAGATATTTTTTTGGCTGCGCCACGCGGCTCATGGGATCTCAGTTTCCCAACCAGGGATTGAACCCGGGCCACAGCAGTGAAAACCTGGAAACCTAACCACCAGGGAACTCCATTAAGAAGAGTTTTGATCTCTTAAATCTGTGAAGTGAGTTCCTGTTTATCAAGCACGTTTCAACTTACTTGTCACAATCCTGTGACTATGGCATTATGAGCTCCACTCACCTTCTGGGAAAATGGAGGCTTGAAGGAATTAAGGAGGTCAAACCAAGGTCTGGCTGAGTCCAGGCCCAGGGCCCCTGCTGTCCTGCCCGATACTTTCTAAGCCCTTCTTCTGCAAAGCCAAGTCTTAGTTGGCTCAGTTGGCCAGAGATATCATTTCAGCCTGGACATGCTGGGATGACTGACTAATGTCCTGGTGACACTGCACCTCCAAATGGACCCTTCTAGGGACCAGCCTTGGGAGGTAGACTCATGTTGCCTCTGCCTATGGAGGGAGGCTGGGAGGAAGCCGAGCCGTTGTGTTTTCCTGGTGTGCAGGTGTTGGAGGATGTCAGAGGATGGCGGGAAGGATAAGTGCCCACCGAACTGAGAAGGCATCTTGAGACCAAAAAGCGAGGCAGACAGCTCCATCTAATCCATGGGATCAGTTTATTACTCACAGGGTGGGATGGGGCTGACAGCGATCTGGAAGCATCTGCAGCTGTACTCCACACCACCGAGGCGCCATTGGGACAACTTTATAGTTAACTTAGGGTATGGGGATAGGAGCTTGGAGACAGAACGTGCATTCCTGAGTCAAGATTTATGAATGGGTAACTAGTCTCATGGATGCCGGGAATATGTCATGGAAGGTTTACATCATTGTTTGGGGACTAACAGAGCCCAGAGGCTACCCGGTCCTAATGATTATTAGACAATATCTATTAACTACAAAGTCCTTGATGATAGAGAAGTGATTTACTGCCCAGTACAGTCCTGGGTAGGGTCAGCAGAAGGACAGGAGGAATGGTAAGGGCCCAAGATGGTGTTATGCTAACAGCCATACAGTAGACCTAGAGGCAAAGGGAGACTGAGTTCCATGGGGACCGCAAAGAAGAGAAAACCCAACCGTGTCACAGGCTGATCCTCCATAATTCCACTTTGTCTGTGGTCAATGACAAAGAAGGGTCAGTGGCTGATGGTGAATGAGTCACAGACACGTCCAGGTGACTCCTGGCCGGCTCCATGGGAAACACTTGGGCCTTAAATCCTATGTCTGAGATGCAAGGGCCTTGAGCTCACCCTGTCCAGGCCCTTCCTGTTCCAAATGGGGCTCTGGGGCCCAGAGTGGTTGAGGCTCAAACAGAGTGAGGCAGAGGCCGGCCTGGAGTCCAGGCCCCCTGACTCTTAGCCCAGTGTATTTTTGATTCATGTTAGAAAGGATGGTCTCAGAATAGGACCCTATTTTGAAATAAAACCTGATGCCTGGGTACCCCTGACGTACTTAACGCTGAGCAGGTGGATTTTCTCCAGGGCCACCATGGGTGGCTGAGCTGCCTCGGGAGGTGAGCAGCCCTATGAAACCTGGGTTCTCTCCTCTGATACAGGAAGAGCATTTGTTCCTCTCGGGCCTCAGTTCATCCCGTGATGGTCCAGGCTTCTGAGGTGAAAGAGAGCAGAGGAATTCCTCCCATGAGGCCTCTCTACCACACTTCCCTCCAAGAGGTGGCCTTGCAGTCTACACCATGGAGAAAGGCAGGGGACCAAGGGCGACCGAAAGACCTTCTCTGGCCAGCTTGTCACTCACTCCAGTAGAGGCACGTGCCTCTCTTCACAGCCTTGGAGACACCTGTCTGGACTCTGGCCCACAGTGGCCCTCTGGATGTACGTACTGAGTGACAGGACACAGCCGAAGCAGCAGACAGCTGCTCACTCAATTGCCCTGAGAGAAACTTAGAATCAGCTTCAGATACGGATTGCACAAGTGGAGGGATTAAAAAAAAAAAAAGAAAATGAGAACGTTAACTTCAGATTCCAGCAGCCAGAGACCCCAAAGAGAGAAGAGCCGTGTCAGGGGCATAGGAGGTGGTACCCTCAGGATGAGCATGCTGTGTCACAAATGAAGTGAGTTGGGTCATGGGTGCATTAAGGACTTGCCTGAATGGGCCCTACAGTGACAGCCAGACTCTGCACTAGTTGTCCTAGAAAACAAAGGAGGCCCTTACAGGAGATCTCCCTGTCCTGATGGCCCAGTGGGTCTCAACTGGGGGCAGTTTTGCCACCCAGGGGACATTTGGCAGCATCTGGAGACATTTTTGGTCGTCACGCCTGGGGGAGGAGGTTGCTACTGGCATCTGGCGGTAAAGTTCAGTGATGCTGCTGACACTTCACTATGCACAGGGAGCCCCCACGCTGGGAATTACGAAGTCTGCGATGCCCACAGGGCCGAGGTTGAGAAACCTCAAGGAACCATTGCTGAGGTAGCGGAGCTCTGGAGGCCTGATGCCCCGGCTGTCCCTCCTAGGAGGGGCCGCACGGCATGTGCACCCCGGGGAGCCCATCAGGTGGCTCTAGGGCATCCTGTTGAGGTGTCCACTGAACTGGGCGAGGTGTGTGCACCATAGCCAACCCTCCTGAGTAATTTCAGAGAGAAGCTTATAATGTGTTTTGTTTTGTTTTTAATTTCATTTATTTATTTATCTTGGGCTGTGTTGGGTCTTCGTTGCTGCGCACGGGCTTTTCTCTAGTTGCGGCGAGCGGGGGCTACTCTTCGTTGCGGTGCGCGGGCTTCTCATTGCAGTGGCTTCTCTCATTGTGGAGCACGGGCTCTAGGTGCACAGGCTTCAGTAGTTGTGGCACGCGGGCTCAGTAGTTGTGGCTCACGAGCTTAGTTGCTCTGCGGCATGTGGGATCTTCCCGGACCAGGGCTCAAACCCGTGTCCCCTGCACTGGCAGGCGGATTCTCAACCACTGCGCCACCGGGGCAGCCCTATACTGTGTTTTAAGAGGTTGGTAAATTACAGCTTCAGAAGCACATAGATGCTTCTGTAAATGCCAGTCTTGCTGTGTGTGTCTATGTGGACGAAGAGTGAGCAGGTTGCTCAAGCCTTGGGAAAACCCACTTTGAGGGTGGAAGCCTGAATTTACCTTTGGTCCTGAATTCTCAGGCTCTCCTCCTGGCTTGCTTAACTCTCTGGCAGTGTGTCATCTGTTCCTCCCTTCCCTGCCCAAAGGGTCTGCTGCATTGACTGTTTCTGTAACCTGTTTAGGCACCCGTGGGGTGTCCAGGGTCCTGGTTTTACCCTCTTAGGTTCAGGAAATTGGGGGTCACAAAGGAAACTTCCCTCCAAAGCAGCCACGACGCTTTGCCAGCCACCATCATCAAAGACTGTCCTATTAGCCCAACCAGCTTTTCTACGGCCCCCGACGGGTTTTAAAACACTTCTACTGCTGGCCTGGTTTGACTCTCCTTGCATCTGTGTGAAGCAGGCAGGGCAGGCTGATGATCTGTACTGTCCCAGTGAGGACCCTGAGGATGCCTGGGAGGGAGTGATGTGCTCAGCATCACAGGGTAGATCATCAGCAGAGCCAGGGTTTGAACCTAGGTCTCCTGTCCCGAAATTCTGGGTGCCTGCACTTGACCTTGGTTGTATGGGGGAAGCAGTGGGACAAGGACGTGGGATTTGGGGTCCGAGAGCCCTGGTTTCAGATCCAAGATCTGTACTCACTGCCTGTTCATCTCAAGCAAGCTTTCCCTCCCTCTTTCTTTTTCTCCCTCCCCCTTTCTTTCTTTTTCTCCCTCCCCCTCCCTCCCTTCTTTCTTTCTCTCCCTTCCTTCCTTCCTTCCTTCCTTCCTTTCTTTCTTTCTTCCTTTCTTTTCTTCCTTCCTTCCTTCCTTCCTTCCTTTCTTTCTTTCTTTCTTCCTTTCTTTTCTTCCTTCCTTTCTTTCTTCCTTCCTTTCTTCCTTTCTTTTCTTCCTTCCTTTCTTCCTTCCTTCCTTCCTTTCTTTCTTTCTTTCTTCCTTTCTTTTCTTCCTTCCTTCCTTCCTTCCTTCCTTCCTTCCTTTCTTTCTTTCTTTCTTTCTTTCTTTCTTTCTTTCTTTCTTTCTTTCTTTCTTTTCTTTTCTTTCTTTCTTTTTCTTTCTACCATTCTCAGCTTCACTCTCCACACTGGTGAAAGGGAAATAATATTGAACACCTCTCAGGATTGTTGTGAGGTGTGAAAGAAATAACTACGAGCCTGGCACATGATGATTGCTCCATGAATTTTAGTTCCCTTTGCTCCCTTCTCACCATCCCAGGGGCCCAGGCAGAGGTGAGCAGCTATGAGGGGGGGTTGGGGTAGTGGACAGAGGTGACAAATACCTGGCTCCTTGGGAAAAGCATGCAGGCAGGGCAGGTACCAAATGTCATTTGTGAGGCCACTCCTGATTCATGGGATCTGGTACAAGAACTTTGAGGAGGCAATAAAATTCATATTCTGCTAGGAAATGACAAGAGCTTAGAGTCCTGACTTAGTGAACTAATTTTTTTTTTTTTTATAAGGCAAGGAATTTGGATGGGTAGCAAAAAATCACATTCTAATGAGACTAACTTCCTGGAATAGGAACAGGCTTTCCTAAGAGTAACATGGCAACACCCCATGGAAAGTGTATATAAATGCCCCAGAGAGGCCATGAGAGTCGGAACCTGAGCTCCTTGCTAAGCTGCAACCTTCTCTGCCAGCATCATGGCCACCCAGCTCTGCTCTCCAGTCTTCTCCTCTGGGTCCATCAAAGGTCTCTGTGGCACCACAGGTGGTGTCTCTCGGGTGCCCTGGGTCCGCTCTTGGGCTCCTGCAGAGTCCCTGGCCTCTCTGGTGTTCGGGGGTCAGCCTCCTCTGTCAGGCTGGGCCTCTCCGGCCTTGGGAGCTGATCGCCTCGTTCCTACCTGTCCTCTGGGTACCACTTCTCCGGCTTTACTGGGAGCGGGGGCTGGTTCTGCGAGGGCTCCTTCAATGGCAACGAGAAGGAGACCATGCAGTTCCTGAACGGCCGGCTGGCCAGCTACCTGGAGAAGGTGCGCCAGCTGGATGGGACAATGCAGAGCTGGAGAGCCGCATCCGGGAGTGGTATGAGTCTCAGATCCCGTACATCAGCCCAGACTACCTGTCCTGCTTCGAGACCATTGAGGAGCTCCAGCAGAAGGTAACTGGGACCTGGTCCCTCTCCAGCCCAGCAGCCCAAACCCTGGGAGGGGTCTGTCTCGTCCCACTGCAGATGGGACTGTAGCTCTTAGGGGATTCTCTCTCCTATTAGGGCCAGCTTTTCTCTCTAGGGTCTTCGTTTCTTGGGGGACCCAGACCTCTCTGCTGCTTGTAACCTCCCCTCCAATCCAGCCATTCCTCCCTTCCCTCTGCTGTCTCAGCTATAGACAGGGCAGTCACATGCACCAAGCCCCTACTGGACACAAGCACTGTGCCTGACAACTTCCTATCCTTTCGCTTGTTTACTCCTCATCTTATAGAGATGGATATTACTGGATCCATCTAACAGATGCGGAAGTTGAATCTTAGGGAGGTGCAGCAACTTGCCCCAGATCCCATAGCCTGTTGGTGTTGGATGCAGAACCTGAATCCAGGTCGGCCTGGTTCTCTCCACTCACCCACTGGGCCACTTTGGGGTTGCGGATGTCAGAACTGAGGGCCACTGACATCCCTGTGATGCCCCTCCCGGGAATGATTCTCCTTCTACACCTGGGCTCAGGATGTTCAGGGCTGGAAATGCCAAAGGTGCTGGTGGTACTTAGAAGCATGGCATCCAAAAGTTGGGCTGTCCCCTCCCCACCTGTCCCCACACTGCTGGGCCTTCCCCAGCTCAGGGGACACCCCCTGTTCCCCAGATCCTGCTGAGTAAGGCCGACAATGCCAGGCTGGTTCTGCAAATTGACAATGCTAAGCTGGCTGCTGACGACCTCCGAACTAAGTGAGTGGCCTGATCTAGGAAGGTTTCTGTGCTGCTCCCTTGCCTCTGTCCCCTGCCTCTGAGAGCTGGTGAGTGGGAGTGAGGCCAGATTGAGCTGTAAGTAGGAAATGTGGCATCGCTCCTGGATCCCTTTCGGGCCAAGGGAAAGGACCACAGTGATGCTGACCCCAAATCAGCCATTGCAGCTGGTCAGCAGGGCAGTGGGCCCTGCCTGTGCATGGCTGCTTTGCTGTAGACTCGGCAGGGGTCTGTGCGTGCAGGTACGAGACGGAGCTGGGCATGCGGCAGCTGGTGGAGGCTGACACCAATGGACTGCGCTGGATCCTGGACGAACTGGCTCTGTGCAAGGAGATGCAGGTGGAGTCCCTGAAGGAGGAGCTGATGTGCCTCAAGAAGAACCATGAGGAGGTGAGGTTGATGCCACGCACCCTCTCGATGTTTTCCATCCAGCAGGGAGCCACTGCTGACCCTTGGGTGTAACAACTATGACAACCACCTCCACAGTAAGCCCAGCTGACATTAACTGATGGCCCACTGTGTGCCAGGAACTATAGGAAGCACTTTGCATTTCATTCTCACTTCATGTCATTCTTACAATAATCCCAGGAGGCATATACTATTACAAGCTCCATTTTACAGATGAGAAAACTGAGGCACAGAGAGGTCAAATCACTTGCCTAATGTCACACAGATCCCAGACTCCTGCCCATGACACTAAATCTCCATTTGGAGGGTAGTGCCTGATAATGATTCTATTTGCCTGGTGTTTGCATCGTCTCACTTTACTCTCCCAAATCCTCTGAGGAGGCAGGTAGAGGTGCACGAGGAGGCTGAAGCTCAGAGAGGTTAAGTATCCTGCTTAATGTCACACAGCTGGCAACTGAAGGAGGAGGGTTTTTACCCAGGTCAGTCGAACCCACATCCAGCATCCTTTTCACAGCCTTATGCCATCTTGCCTCCTTTCTGCAGGAAGTCAACACACTTCGATGCCAACTTGGGGACCGGCTGAATGTGGAGGTGGATGCTGCCCCACCAGTGGATCTCAACAAGATCCTGGATGAGATGAGATGCCAGTATGAGGCCCTGGTGGAAAATAACAGCAGAGATGTGCAGGCCTGGTTCAACACCCAGGTGGGGCCGGGCCAGCCCAGGACAAGCTCCTGGGGAGGGGTCACCCTTGACAGTAGCTTCACTTGCTCTGACCATGCTCTGGGTCCTCTCATGATTTTCAGACTGACGAGCTGAACCAGCAAGTGGTGTCCAGCTCGGAGCATCTGCAGTGCTGCCAGACAGAGATCATTGAACTGAGACGCACGGTCAATGCCCTGGAAATCGAGCTGCAGGCCCAGCACAGCATGGTGAGTGGCCCCTGCCTGAGTGGCTGGCCAAGCTCGTGGAAGGTACCCTGAGCCACCAGCCTCGGTTATCACAGGGTGTGATCGCAAGTGGTACCCAGATACCCAGGGCTGTGGGTCTCTGGGTGGGATTCCCTCCTGTTGGGAGTGATTTCTCTTTCCCATTGCAGCGGAATTCCCTGGGATCCACCCTGGCAGAGACTGCGGCCCACCACAGCTCCCAGCTGGCTCAGATGCAGTGCCTGATCAGCAACGTGGAGGCTCAGCTGTCCGAGATCCGCTGTGACCTGGAGCGGCAGAGCCAGGAGTACCAGGTCCTCCTGGACGTCAAGACCCGCCTGGAGTCAGAGATTGCCACCTACCGCTGCCTGCTGGAGGGAGAAAGACTGCAAGTGAGTGGGTTCCGGAGGTCCCGGCTTGTGGAAAGGGCTCACCTGGACCCAACCCTCAGTGCCGCGGTGAGGGCATCAGTCCTAGAGTGGTTATTGCACAGATGAAGCGGGATTGATCAAAGCATCTTCAGAGAGATTCCTTCCAGCCCTGGGCTTTGGGCTTTTGCAGGGGGACAAGTCAGCCCCATTCATGGCATTTCTCCAACCATTGTTTTTGGCTGGGAGTTTCTGGTCTTCATCCCTGCAGCCCTTGGGGATTTCAGAGGCACTGTCTGAGCCCTTTGTCATTGTCACCCACCTGTCTCACTTGACCCCTGTTTACATTTGAACACGAATGTCAGTCCAATGGCCAATGCCAAACACCCTGATATGATCTCATTTCCTCAGGCTGCCTGCCCACCCTTGTGCCACGGAATGCAAGCCTGCCGTTAGAGTTCCTTACATCTCAAGTGTGCCCTGCGCCCCGGCTCCCCAGATCAGCACCCAGATCCGCACCATCACGGAGGAGATAGGAGATGGGAAAGTCATTTCCAGCAGGAAGCACGTGCAGCTGCTGTAACCAGCTGCCCAGCCCAAGGGGCAGGCCCTGGCCCACAGGAAGGAGGACACCCCTCTGGGTCCTGGCTCTAAAAGACGCCCCCCCCGCTTCCCGAGAGGAACTCCCTGATCAACAGATTTTTCTACCAAAGATACTTCTTGGACTGTTTCTGACATTTACTGCTTCTATGCCGTGTAAAGCTAGGTTTTCCTGGAAATTTACCCAATAGAGTGTGTTCTCTTGGCAAAGCAAACTTGCCTCTGTCGATCTTCTGTGGTTAGTTACTGGGGGTGTTTGATCTGGGCTTGCTGCGAAGGTGTGGATTTTGGTTTCAGGTCTGTCTCCTCTGGCTCTGAGTGGTAGGATGTGACAGAATGATTCAAAATATCTCATAACAGGGATACCCTAGGGCCTAGTCCATGAGAACAGATGCTGAGCTAATCCGATGGCTGCTGGCCATAACCTACAGGCTTGGCTCTGCCCATGCGGACCACCTGGGGCGGCCCCAGGAGAGGCAAAGGCTCCCAAGCTGTCCTCCTCGGTAGCCCTGCCTGGTCTGGTGGTTCTCTCTTCCCTTCAGTTTCTGCTCCTTTGTCCAGCTCCTGTCACCTCGCTGGCCACCTCCAGGCCTGACACTGGGGACAGTTTAGGACGGGGGTGCCACCCAGAGAGGCAAACTCCAAGCAGCCAGCCTGGGCCAGCCACTCCAGGGAGGGGAGTTGTGTGAGCTGGGAGATGTAGGTGGGAAGGTTGGGTGAACCCAAGTCCCTAACACTGGACACAGGGCTGAAGTGAAGGGTGGCAGGGACAGTGAAGTGGGGAAGGGGGAGGGGACAGCCAGACCTCACTGTGGAGCAAAGTTCAGAGTGCCTCAGATTCCACTGGCTGAGCCATGCTCATCTCGGCATGGCTCAGGCTGGAGGCCCCTCTGATCAGAGAAGCATGGCCTGTGAGAAGTCTGAGGGCCCCATGCCTCCTTTGTCCCCCTACCTCATTCTTCAGTTGAGAATATAGGCCCAGAGAGGGCAGTGACTTGCCCCAGGCCACACAGCAGTGAGTGGTGGGGATGAGGCCATTGCTCAGCTCTTCTGACTCTAGCTCGGGCACTCTTCCCAGCGCACAGATTCTCTGTCTCTGTCTCTCTCCGACCCCCTTCCCTCTTTTCTCTACCTCTGGGCTCTTACTTGAGTCCAAGACCCATGGGAAAGAACTGGTTCTGTCTATGTCACCAGGTAGTTGGTGCTAAACATGAATCTTCAACCTGCTTGACAAGCCAGAGGTGCAGCAAACACATCTTGGAGCTTAGGGAAA